TTTGTGAGAAACTCATTTCCTGTAGAAGTAGGTTATGGCTACGCTGATTCATGTTTCATCACCACCCTCAGTTTGGATCATTATAGTTCGTTATACTGGCAAGTAAAGGTGAAGATGGCAAACTTCAGGTTCTGTGCAATGCAGCAGTCTAGCCATCGGTTGGAGAAAGTACTGAGAATGTGCGACAGTAGAGCACATTGAACTACTGTGCTTCTCCTAGTGAAACAGAAGGTGATGTCCTGGAGATGTCTGTATGCATAAGGAGATATTCTAAGCATCAAAAATAGTTCATTTTCATAGTAAATGATCAGTACCCTCAGCATAAGCTGCAAACTTAAATATTTGAATGCCAGTAATCTGGTATACCATAGGAAGATTAGAGTGCCAGTGTTTCTATCTGAACAGCTGGCTAATCCAGAGTGTTGTTGTTGTGTAAATGCACCAAAAGTACTCTTGCCAAATCTTGGATATTGACAGTTATTCATACCTCATCTATGGAGGATTATCTTAGACTCATACGTAGCACATGACAGTCATCTTGACCCAACATGGGTTAAAAATACCACAAGTCTAATTGAGAGTTTCTGTTATAGCTGGCCAGTTGGTCTTTACTTGGCCCGTAGGTGATTCAGAGTACTCTTTCAGAGATTCTGTTGAGGTTTGACTCTACATTCAAGATGTCTTCTTTCCAGTTGTTTTGAGTGACAGCTTCAGGGTGGCTCTGCCCTGGTAGCAGTCTGCAAAAGATCTCTGCTAGGCTACATTAGCCTAAAATCTCTAATAGGAACTTCAGGTAGTTGTTGCCAGAATGGAAAGCAAGAACATCTCCAGATAAGATATTTAGCTTCAGGGCAATTATCCATGATTATTGCATTAAGGATTTTCGGGCGTCTTGAATCCTAAAGAGCACAGTTTGTGCTCGGAAATGATAAGTAGTGTTCAGGTAAACAGAAGAGTGCTGGATTGTATGCATTGTATCAGAAAGCCCAGGAAGTGCAGCAACAGTGTTTGTGTCTTGGATTTTTCCAATTTTGTAGAAAAGAATAAGATATGCAACTGGTCCTTCAGTCAAGGAACTGTACATAAAAAAAAAAAAGTAAAAAAAAAAAATCTTATTTTTGGAGAATGGAATGTGTTTTACATACACTTTTTAGCCACAGAAACTTCTCATATCCAAGACACTTGTCTCAAAAGAAATTAATCTAATTCAAATGCATATCTGTAGGATGCACTTGGGACGCATCTCTCCTGAGAGATATTTACCATATGACCTTCAGTTACTTTGAGGTACTTATTTGAGCTGGAGTATGTTTTGTAAGGATTGTTTCTTTTTTTTAATGCCTTAAATGGTTTTGCCCTTCTAAAGATCTTGTTTCCAGTTTCTCCTGCTTTGTGTGCTTTGGGAAGAGAGAGAGTAGCGACTAAATGTCTCTTCCCCCACCCCCCGTTATGAGTTTGGAGAGAAGGCAGTGGTTTTGTTGCGTTGCCCCTCTCTGCCACTTTTTTCTCTCCACTCTAATTTGATTTTTCTTTATTGGACCTCGGTAAATGCTTTCAAGCTATCCCCATCCTGCAGGAGATCTATTTCCTGTCTTGGATCGTCATCTTAGTGCTTGACAAAGAGAAGGGCAGATACACTATTTGTTGTGGCTTGAAGCCATGCGTCTCCAGAAAATCTGCTAGCTAAATCTCTGGGCTCTATTTCTGGACTGGGAAATGAGACATCAAATCATTTTCTGTCTCCCAAACTGCGTTCTTGTCTGTCTTCCAGGTACTGTATATGAATTAGCTAAAGAATATTGTAAGTGGCATATCTCTTCCTGATTTTTAGAGCGCTACCTTGACCGTCTCCTGTAGGGGAGTTTAATTCCACAGATTCATGGTCTATACAGGCCTTAGGAGAAGCTCATCAAAGCATAGTTCCTATGAATATAGCACTTTTCAAGGGATGACTCTTTCACAAGGATTTTCAGGCATCTTGAACCCTGAAAGTAAAAAGAACAACAGTGAATTCTATCCATTACATCAGAAAACCCTTCATTCAGGTGAGGAAAGCCTGAGCGAAGGAATGATTCTAGGAATGTTCTTCCTCCGCTTCAGAGCCCACCGATAGATCTGACTCTTACCTGCATGGAGCTGCGTCAGTCATTCAGGATGTTACAACATTTTGTAACTGTTGTAGAGTGCTTTTGCCATCTGAGATCACCTTTGCTGCTGTTACCACTTCTCTCAACATCCACAATCACATTGGGAAACGAGATCCTAGTGTCACGAGTCCATGTTGACTGGATAGAAATTCTTACTGTCCTTTTGCAGAAAAGCTTGCATGTGGTTGATTACATCATCAGCAGGAGAAAATACTGTTTATTCTTGGATCGTCATCTTTTTTTTCCCCTCCCCCCTTCCCCTCCTTTTCCCTCTGCCCCTCCTTTTCCCTCTTCCCCTCCTTTTCCCTCTTCCCCTCCTTTTCCCTTTCCTTCCATTGGATCAGTCTCTTGTCTCACCTCTTAATCTGTGGGATCTTTTTTCAGTCAGCAGTTTTCGTCTCTTCATCCTCCTGGCTGCTGTGAGCAAAAAAGGAGGGTGGTTTGACATTACTTTTAAGAAATGGGAGAGTATTGTGTTTTGTGGTGCAGACCTCCATTTTGTCGACATCCCTGTATGGTCATTTTTACTGTCTGTGACAGACGGTCATAGCTCTCTGTTCTGGATCCTTACGACTTTCCAGGCTGTTTCTACTATTTTCTGTGGTGGTAGGCCTTGTTTGCTTATTCTTGCCTTCAGTGAAAGGTGCTGCCTTGAGATTCACTTTGTGACTATAACCCCAGTTGTTCAGACCCTTTCTAAATATTTTGAATGTTTCTGCTGTAGTAGTTGTCTAGGAATTCTAGCTTCTTTCCAGGCAATGCCACTATTTTGGAACTTTCACTAGTATTGGGGATGGTGATGTTCTTTATTTCTGGTTTGCTCCCTTATCTGTTTTAGCTGATGTAGAACCATGCAACATACTTAGTTATTAGAGGTCATCTTTTTTTGTTTGTTCGTTTGGTGTGGTTTTGGGGTTTTTCTGTTTGTTTGGCAGTGGTGGTTTTTTCCCCTCCCACAAACAATCTGAGTGGCCGTAGAGAAACCTGTATGGACGATAGTGTGTTTGCATCGTGGAGTTGAGGTCATGCACAGGAGTACACTGTGGAGTTGAGGTCATTGTGTCAGTTCAGGCATGTGCCTCTCTCCCTGGGTTATGTGTCAGTCTGAACTGAGAAAGCAATTTTTGTTTGTTCTTTTACCACTGTTTTCTGTTGGTCTTCTGCATATTCTTACTAGCCGTCTTGTTTGTGTGCTCCTAAATACCACAACGTGTTTTTTCAGGAATCTGTCTGCTGACAAGCTCTTGGCAGGAGGTGAGCCACTCGTCAGAATAATTTTCCCCCTTGGGAAAGTCAAAGAGGAGATTACTTTTTAGTAACAGGGAGGAGGGAGGGAAGGCAGGCAGGGGCCTGGAAATGATTCCGTATCATTACACTCTCAGTATCACGTGGTGACGTAAGTTTTGATACTTTTGTTGTTGAGGCTTAAGTAACGGGTTTGCTGGCACAGGCAAGATAAAGAATGATACTCACGTTTTGTAGAAGGGTCCCACGATACTTGGATCTTCTTGGTTAGGCATGTGTGTGGTGTGGTACTGTGTCACATGTGAATGTATGTATAGATAAGTGCTCAAAGAAAGAAGTTTCTTAGCAGTAACTAGTTCTTTGAGATGATGTATGTATGTACATTCACTAACAGTATGGCTGCTGTCTTCTTATTTTTTTCAGGATGTCTATGTGAGAGGAACAGGGTTTGAGGGTTTGTTGCACATCCTTTTATTGCCATATAAGAAGGAGCTCAGGACACACACATTCACAGTTGTGACTTTACATGTGAACAGTTAATCTTGAAAAAAGCCTTGTTGCTGGTGATCTTTCTTGCATTGTTGTTGGAGGTGTATGATGCTGCTGGTAGAGGTGGGTGGGGTGAGTTGTTCTGTGTGATGTGTTGCGAGGAGCCTTTCCCAGAGTGTGACTACAAGTGCTCATTAAGAGTTCGTCTCCTTCCTTTCCGATTCAGGATGTTCCTTCAGACTGTGTCCCAGCTACAAGGGATTTCTCTTGTGCAGTATTCTTTTGTATGTACTTTTGGTCACTTTGAATTCGTCGGAAAGAGGAGTGTTTGGTGTTTCAGTATAAGTTTTAGTTACTTTAAACATTAACTACTCTGGAAACTACAAACATAGGCATATTTTGGTTTGCTACTTTTTAAGACTAAAAGATCTTCATCAACTTCACAGCCTTCTGCCAGCCATAAATCAGTGTGTCTATGGACTCCACACAGAGGTATAATATGAATCTTGATTGTGTTTTAAAGACTTAGAGCTTTGTGGCATGGTCCTGTGATTTGGACAAAGCTAAATGATACTACCTTTAGGTCAGGCGTTTTCTTCATTATACGAATGGGTATTTCCTTGATGGCAATGGCATTGTCTTTGACAATAAGTAAGCTTTGGCTGCGTAAACTGGACCTACCTTTAATCCATATCTTAGTGGATTTTAGAAGGTAAGAAGTCGTCTAAAAGTGATGACTGATTCTTAGTGTATACTTTTTTTAGATGTAAGTGTTCAAGTGAGTTTCTTTTCCCAAATACCAACATTAGGAGTCTTGGATTCTGCTTTGCCACTGTGAATAAAAGAGCTAGCAAATTCTGTATTCTCTAATGGTGACACCCGCCACCACCCCAACAATACAGAGTTAATTCTCAGCTTGTATTCTGTGAATCAGGACAGTACATTTTGCTTTGCCAATATTGTATAAAGCATTGTTTAAGCTGAGTTTCAAGCACAGGAGTTTCTCTTTAATTGCTGAGTATTTGTTGAGATGATGTCTAGGTTGTCAGGTTTTTATACTTTTTTTATTTTTATTTTCCCATTACTTGGAAGTTCTAATAATACTGACTGACTTATTCTTGTACATTCACTGCTAATGGTGGTAATACTTTTAAGTGGTTTCATGAGGCCTGGAGATGTCAGCTGTGATAATAGATTTTGTAGGAAGGGATAGCCTTGCTGACCTGGACCTAGCAGAGGGGTGCCTGCAGGATGTTCAGTTTCCAGATGCATCTCTGTATGAAAATAGTTATGTTGCTTCCATACCCAGCAGGCACACTAGGTTCGTGCAGTGCTTAGCTCAAAATAGTAAGTCCTACCAGAACTTGAATGTGTTGGAAAGTGCATTGCAGATGTAACCAAGCTAGCTGTGCAAGAGCTAGCTCAGGTCCAGAAGTGGTACATTTCAGTCCGGCATTAATCAAGAGAAACAAAAGATCTGATTTTTGTATTTGAAAGTGTGATTTATTTGTTGTTTTCACTATGTGTATATATAAGGTAGTTATTTAATAAGGTATATTTAACATAATGACCTTATTGAATGGATTAATTTTTAATAAGCTGTATCTTCACTTCCTAGCATTTCTTAGGAATATAAACCAACTTAGTTACAAAAGTTTCCATTTTTTTTAAACTCTTATATTTAGCTGTTAGTGCTTCAAGTGAAAGGAAGGTATGCCCAAAATGTAAATGGAATAAAAGCCAGGTATATCAATTTGTCTGGTATGTACTGAAGACGGACAAAACACATATAATTAGGCCTTTTTAGAGAGTGTTTTCATAGAGTTCTAAGTGGTGTCATGTTAAGAGTTCGTGTGGATTTCACTGTTAATAGGCATCCTTTCAGAAGTACCAATTAATTGTGAGAATAGGATTTTTTAAAAAAAAGTGTTAGTAACATTAGGTTAGCAGATAAAGTTGCTTTTCTTTCAGTTTTGGCACTAAATACCTTTAAGGGGAGAAGGAAAACGTACAAGAACAATGTAAATATTCTGCTTTAAAAGATAGGTGTCTAACATGGTATTTAAGTCTAGATTTTTAGGGTTTTTTCCCTCAGGTCAACTTTCCGTGTAAAAGAGTACTTCTGTGATTTTTGATTATTTTTACTTTGAGAAATTTATTTGGCATTATGTCTGAATTAAAGCTGTGCTATGGAATACAGGTTAATTAACTACATTCAACGGACTTAACTTTTAAGTTTGACTGCATTAAAATGTCTCTTGCCACTTTGGTGCATAAACAGTTTCTAGGTAAGAGAAGTAAACATCGAGCTTCCTGGAATCATGTTAAGAGAGGTTAATGCACTTTAATCTTAATTGGTTTTAAGCTAGACAGTAAGACAGATAAATCTCTATAAGCTGACCTTGTTTTTAGAAGGAAAAAAAAAAATTGTGCAACCAACCTGTATTGTGTATTTTTTAAATAAATTGACTCCCTTTTCCAGGCCTTAGATGGTCAAAATATTTATAATGCTTGCTGTACCCTACGGATTGATTTTTCCAAATTGGTGAATTTGAATGTCAAGTACAACAACGATAAAAGCAGGGACTACACTCGTCCTGATCTTCCATCTGGTGATGGACAGCCAGCGCTGGACCCAGCTATTGCTGCAGCATTTGCAAAGGAGACCTCTCTTCTAGGTATGATTCTGATATTGTTCTTTTGTATTGCAAAGTCACTCGATGAAAATGTTTATTAATCCTTCTAACAGTTAAAGATCTTAAATTGTAATAGTGTCCAAAGCCCCATTCAGGGTTCAGTCTACATTGTGATCTGAATTTTAGTAACACAATTATATTGTCTTTCGAAGTCCTGCATAATTTTTAATTTCCCACAGTTCATTGCATAAGTTTTATTTCTGCTTCTGTCAAGTTGCTGTTCTTTGGTGAGGACACCTTTCACTCTTCAAAATTTAATAGTACTCAGACATTATCTCATGACTTTTACAAAACCTGATTTAGTATGTTGTGATCGTTGTTCTTCCCACTTAGTCTTTTTTCTTATTTTTTTTTTCTTTCATAATTTCCCATTTTTCATCTAAAGAAAACTTAAGAACAACATAGATTTCATGCCTTGTTTTTTGTACAGGATGGGCCAACTTGGAGTGAGTCAGAGTTAACGTTAGTAAAGAGGGCCCTCTGCTCTCTGTGCGTTACAGAAGTTAGAAGGCACTTAGTGAATGATGTGAGCCCAGGAAAAGGGTGAATATTGTAGTTAAGGCTACTGAATGCTGCGCTGTACCTGCCCTTTTCTGAAATCGGATTACTCGAAGGATACATTTCATATCTAGTTGTAAATTCCACACACCCCCACTTCCCACAAATTTTGGAGTGCTTGACTTCAGATCCTCCAGTATGACTTGCAAAATGGTGTATCACTTGTAGCTACAGCAGAAATTTTGGAAAGTAAAAAATACCATAAGAATCTAAAGTCTCTGAAGAACCCGTAGCTAAAACTTATTTTCTTTTTTCTCTTTTTACCTTCCCATCGTTTAAAAATCAAAATATCTCATTTCATGGATTGATAGGGAAGATGGATGAGTGTTTGTGAAGAAGTTTGATGCCGTAGAGACGAGTACTGTAGAAATGCCCTTGAGGCAGTTGGTAATTCTTCTGTCAGCATGTAATGACTAGAACGCAGACGTGGGGCTGCAGTATGAGCAGAAGGCAGACAAAAACAAAGTCAAGAAGCTGCTTATTAATATGAGACCCATCATATTAGGTGTTGTAAGGCAGGGATTTAAGAGAGGAGAAAGTTAAAGATTCACCATTTATAAAACAGTGCCAAATGCAGCATTGCTTAGGTAACCCTAATTCTGTCATTTTCCTGAATCCTGAGAAGTTGCTTTCCAGTCTCAGGCTTACTAACATATTTCTTTGTATATAATGCTTATAGTGTGCATCAAATCAAGAGGTTTAATTTGCTTGGCGTAGTGGAATCACACTCTGAGGATGCTTGGATCATCGCATCGCTTTGGATACGTTTAATAATTGGGGTTACTATACCTGTTATAGTTATCCAAGTGACTTTAGCTTTAGCAGACATTACGTTCTAGTGTTTTAGGCTTGAAAGTCACTTAGGTGCTTTTGTAATTTTTGTCTACAAAACTACGTAAGTTTTCTAACCTTTTGATTTTAGACAGACTCATTCTTTTGTGTATATTAAAGGTTTTTGCTGGTAAAATTATGAAGATGACAGTCATATTAGCTAATTAAGTATTTTAATTCTTGCTCTCTGGATGGACCTCTTTAAATGCATTGTTTTTCCAAGCAGCAGGAAAATAAAAGGTACATGACATGAGTAACTTTCATTGCAGCTGTGAAACATTTTCAGAGCATCAGTGAAGTCAGTCATGTTTATTTTGATGAGTAGTGGAGATTATATATTGTGGTTGTTTTTTCCTCTATAAAAGCATTCATTGTTTTGAAAGAGACTTAAGGTAGCTGGGTACGTTTTCGAACTCTGCCCGTGGCCAGTTGCATGAGCTTGGTATATTGTAACTCTGCATCATCTGTCAAATGGGGATGATTATACAGTGATGATGATGTTTGGGTTTTGTTTTTTTCCCTAGATGCCTTTTTTGTTTGTTTTTAGAGAATTTGAGCTCTATACCTGAAAAACTTTACAAAAGGCTCCACAGTACTGTTGGTACCTTAGCCATTTGGATAGTTGTCAAAACGGGAATTGTGCTTGTTTGAATGTGGAAGAACAGGGTTCTCGTTCTGGGCTGCTTACTGTGCAAAAAGGCACAAAATACAAGTGACTTAAATAGGAAAGGACAAGGGATAGAAAAAACCCAAAAGCCTAAATGGACGCTTGTGCATGCAATTTATAGATGCATTTTTATTCATATGCTCAAAAGGAGAAGGGTTAGAACACTCAAAAGTTCAGTGAGTTATAAGATGGAGGTGGGCAAACTACGATGTGTGAAATACGGCAGAATGATAGCAGCGACCTTCCTCCTGCTTCTTTCTTTTAACTTAATATTTTATTCCTTTTTATTTGCTTTAGAATTCTTACTTCTGTAATGTCGATAAAGATATCTCCAGAGTGTACTCAGTCAGAGTGTCTGCCATGCCCTATTCACAGATGGTTCCCAAAGGGCGCGTTTCTCCATGAAAGAATGGAGCTCCGTTTTGAGTGTAATGTGATGCTCTTCAGGTTCTTTCGCGTGCTCAAAAAGAACACCAGAAGTCGAACCTGTGGCATTTTTGTTAAAATTCTTACTGTAGCTGTTCTCTTAGACGTATATAATGAGATCACTAACAGAAAATGTGGTAAGGACTCAGTTCTGACTTTTGCTTATGTCACGCTATTATATGCTGGATAGTTGTACAACTTGGGTGCCTTTTTGTTTTTGGCTTTTTAACAATATACTGTAATTCATATGTCAGAAGGTGAGGTTTAGGTTTAAAATAATTTTGCGAGTTGAGTTTTAGTGACAAGATGTGAGTCTTGTTAGTCTTGTTTAAATCTGCATTAATACGAAACCAGTACATATCTTAATTTCCTTCTGGATGGAATTAACCCTTCTCTTCAGTAAATGTAACTTTATGATGTAGTGTAGTAACACTTGCAGCTTCCTAAGCTGTTACGCAGAGATTTTAAAAGAACCTGCTATCTCTCCCAAACCCATTCAGGCTAAGTATAAGAAGCAGGCCAGTAACAAGTACAAAAACATGGTGGCTACTTGACATAAAGCCACGAAAAAGGTTTGTAACAGGACTAGGGACTAAATCTAATTCTCAGGCGCAGTTATGATTTAATTCTCATACCTGCGTTAAGATGACTACTCCTACTGCCTATGGTTTTTACATGTAAGTTCATCATATTTTTTTTAGTATAGCTTTAATTTGCCTCTTATTAAAATGCCATTACTAATTTGCATTTCAGAAGTCATGCAATAAGATACTTTGAGGGGGAATAAATAATGTGACGTGCTGTGTTTAAACTTCATTGAGGAAAAAGACCTCAAAAAGCTAGGAAAAAGGTGTACAGTATTTGTATGTTTTCATTAATATCCGGAAAAAGCAAAAACCTGTTGTTATCTGTAATTGTTGGAAGCTAAAATAAAGCTAGTCACAAAGCTTTCTAATACCGGTTGATCATGTTGACAAAGTAGCTAACATTTCTGAATAGTTTCAGTTAAGTCCTCAAACCTTAAACAGTGTCTTGCATGATAACTAATAATCATAATATAAGTTGTTCTTATTTATTAAAAATTTTTTACTTGCTTAAATTGGAATGGCAAATCGGAGTGCAGTGGAGACCTACAGAACAAGGTAGAATCGTGTTTTCTGTGGGTTTGTAATTTGTCTGACCTTTCCAAGAAATGAGGTCTACGTGTGCTGTGTAATCGGCTAGAAACGTATCAATCAAATAGATGATCCTAGCCCACATGCATCATTACTCATTTGTCCACTACATCCTCAGCTGTGGTGAAATAAAGTGTCAGAAATCTTTGAGACTGTAAATTGGACATCTTTTCAATGAGTCTCGTTATCTTTTGCAAGAAGGTGAAAATCACTAATGGACAGAATGGGCTGGTTTCAGATGAATTATCCGAAGCAGATGGTTGATTTTATTTTCTTTTTTTTTCACATCATATATGAAAATATACACATATTCCCCCCCCCCGCCAAAGTTACAGGAGATCTTACAGAAAAAAAGCTTTGAGTAAAATGCAACTGTATTATACTGAACTGCAACAAACAAAAGATTTTAAATAAGAACTGCTTATAATTGCAAATAGTATTATGTAATAATACTTTAACTCCAATTTAGATAATTGTTTAATATTACAGCTGGAAATATGTTGTTGTGGTTAGGGCTCCTACAGCTTTCTCTCTTGCTGTCATCACTGGCTTTCTTTATTAGTACTTTCCACTACTGCCCCTTCTTAAGATTCTTATTAAATTAATGCATTTCAAAGGTTAATAATTGAAAATAGTTTTGTATGAATGGTGTTGAATTGATCTTTGTTTTTAACTTCTTCGGTGGGTCCTGTAGAGAGTCTGATGTTATGATGACTTTTGCCTTTTAAAGTATGAATTACCCAGCTATGCTCTGCCCAGCTATGGAAAGAGCCATAAACACTTCACTAGTCACCTTTAGATCCTTTTATTCTTAAAAATGCTGGACTGGCTTAAAACTTCTAAGGTTAGGGAGAGGTGCCTAGACACTCTAGAAGATTTGAAATGCTCTAGTATCTTGGCATTTTCTAATACCTAAATGATTGGTATTGACCTAGCATAAAATAGTTGTTTCCCTTCAGATGGAATTGACCTAGTATAAAATAGTTGTTTCCCTTCAGATGGACATCTGTCACACCTTACTGTCATTCTTCACATTTCTGTCTGTATGACCTCAGCTACCTACACGGTAGCTGAGTGTAAATAAGGTGACGTTCAGCATCTGCAATACAAAGCACTCCAAAAGTACATTTCCAAAACGATTTTTTTAGAATGGAACTGCATTTTTTTAAAGTTGTTTGAGGAGTTTAATTTGATATTTACAGGTTTCCCCGTGTATTACAGTCTGATTTGGGGAATAAACTTCTTTACTTTTTCCACAGGGGTACTTACTTTAACTGCATCCTTTATTAATTGTTTTTTCTTGAAAGTAAAGTTATATTCTTCAGCTTTAACCCAAGAGCAAAACATGCATCATATTTATGTTAGATTTTTGTCTTGCTATTAATATACGTAAGTATATGGTATTACACTTTCACAGAAAATGGATTTTGAGAAACAAAATTGCTCTTCTTGGACTAGCAGTGGTCCATCTAATTTCATATCCTTTCTCTGACAGCTAGTGTTACTTCTGCGTTCTCTGATGGAAGACCTAGCGCAGCCCTCATAACGGATGACCATACAGTAGCATACCTGGGGGGAGTGCTTTCCTAACCCCCAGGTAGCTGGTGCCTGGCTTATGGGATGAAGCATGTTATATGTCCCTTTATTGCCTCTTTAATGTAACTGGCTGTTGTTTCCATAGATCATCTAATACGGTCTGAAATCTATTAAGTGTTTTTGCAGGATGGAAGGGAGAAAGGCAAGATAGGGTTTTTCCTTCTTTTTATGTATTCCAGTCAGTCCCACAAACACCACATATAATGCAAGAAAAGATCATATTTGTTGCCTTTTGATTCAAGTAGATTTTCCCTTTATCTTGTGGCATGAGAGATGACTCGAACCGTCATTACTCAGAACTTTCTATTCCTCTGGTTTGACCCCTGAATACTAACATTTTTAATCTTCTAAACTTTATCGGAAAGCATTCCATATCTTTAATTTCCTTTCTTAGAACACTTACTGTTTTTTCTTCTGTATGTGCTTTGACAGGAAATGACTAGAAAATACTTTTCAATACTTGATCAGTAATACTGTTAAGCACTATCGCAAAGTAGTGATGGATGTCCTGTTCCCTTTGAGAGGTCACTAGTCCAGCCCAACAAAATCTTTTTTTTTTTTAATTATTTGTTTTTCACAAATTTGTGTAACGAAATAAAGAGTTGTAATGAAGATAGAAAACTTTTCTAGGAAATTTAAAAAAAGTAATATATTGTAACCTTGCTTACTCCTCCCCTTCTGTCCCCCTGTGTGTTCCCTTTTAAATTAATGGTTGAATGTATTTACTATTCTCTGCTTAGTATTTGGGCATTGACTGAAACTGAAGAATTTATTTTCTCTTATGACTTCCTTTAAAATAAAACTTAATGTGGGAAGGAAAGCAGTCTTAGGTACATAGCGTAGAGGTTATATTTAGACTCTCTACCTGGCATACTGGAGGATTGGTCAAAAGGTGTGTTAGCTTAGCATGATCATATAAATGTTAGAAATTTTGCAAAAATATTGAAATCTGAGAACCCAATTGCAGTAAAAGAAAATAAAATACTGAAGTTATATTTCTTTATTGTTTTTTACACGTTTTGCTACGTCGGTGTCCTTTTACTGAACTCTGTAAAATGTGCAAATAAAATTTTGATCAAATACGATAAAGTTGTTCCTATATAAACTATGTATAGGGCATACGTATCACAAGAACCTTTCACAGGTCCTGGGAGTAGCACACTCGCCTAGTACCCCAGTGACTTGACCAGGCAAAACCAGCAGGTCTCTACAGGATCTGAGTTTCCTTGGAAGAAGAAAAATAAAAGCACAGCTGAAGGTTTAGCTGACGGTAACATGTTTCTTCAGGGAATTGGATTACAAAAGCCACAGAGCATAATCAGTGGTGCTACCTTGAATCTTGAATTTAAAGGTTGCCTCCTCACCTCATTGATGCTAAGGCTCTGAGAGAGACGTAGGCCTTTTCACATGACCAGCTACAGTGTTGTATATTTAGTCTGAAGCATCAAGTTGAAGTGAGGAATGCCTCTCAAAGGGTGATGGAAAATAAGGATGTAATGATGAGAGCATAATTAGTGTTTATTCTTACTGATTTGATAAACGTTTACTTTAGACCATTTTGACAAACTAGACTTTAAGCATTTTGGAGTACAGTGGAAACAGTTTTGGTGCACAAGAATGTTTATTTGAAAAGAAAGTACATTTTAAAACCTCATCACTTCTTTGAAGACTTGATCTAAATAAAAAAAAAATCACATTTCTCTTAATTTAACAACCCATTTCTCAACCCTTTGGACGACTAACAGCAGAACGGTCAGCTTTGTAGAGTGTTGTGTGCAACACATGTACTTTTCTATTGTATGCAGCACATAGGTACTTTTTTTTAAACGACTTGTGTGTGTTTCGTAAAATATGCTTTATTTTAAAATTAGGGCTTCCTGTTGCAGCTGTTCCAGGAGCTCTGAGTCCTTTGGCTATTCCAAATGCTGCTGCTGCAGCTGCTGCTGCTGCTGCTGGCCGTGTGGGAATGCCTGGCGTTTCAGCTGGTGGCAATACAGTCCTCCTGGTTAGCAATTTAAATGAAGAGGTCAGTGAAACAATTTTACTTTTTTCTTTCCTCTTTAGTCACACTTCATTTGTCAGTATTTTATAATTTCTTTGCATTTGGCCTCTTACATTTGGATTTTAAGCTCAAAGTATTTTTGCTGTTTTTTTAATAATCCCCCAAAGTTAATTTTAAAGCCATTATTGTTAAATACTTTTGTTTTCCCAGGTAGCTAACAACTTAAAATGTCCTTTGATAGTCGGCTACCTATTTTTTCTAAGAAAAATGTGGTAACTACTGCATGTTTGACATTTGAATTGAAAGCTTTATTTTTACAAAATGGCAACTATGCTTTCTTTTGCAATTAAAATCACGTAAACTACAATTTCTGTTTTGTTGCTTCTAATTGTTTGCTGTTTCATTTCATGCTTGTATCTCACATTTTAAGGTCTTAATTTATGTGAACTACTCTAACACATTTTTCTTTGAAGGTTCTCCCAAAGATCTTGACGAGGCACTCTTCCAGTCTCTCTTAGTAATTTTTTTCTTTGCAGTTACTCATTTGTCTTTAAAAAATAATAATAAAAAAATGGTGGCAAAGCATTTTCACCTTAACTTTATCTTTCTTGCTAACTCTGAAATCTAAAGGGGTTTATTTAGTTTTGCATTTTTACTGTCCTTTATGTTTATTTTGATGGCTGTGAAAGCTGGTATGAAATGTGGGAAGTTTGTATCAGTCTAGATGTTCCATTTTTAACTGGCCTCTGTCACTGTAAATCATTAAGCTTTTTTTATCATCTGGTACTATTTTGTCATCCACAGTCTTGCATGTTAAAATGTTTTAGATCAGAGTGCCATTTTGAAAGATTTTTTGCCTGCATTTCATAACCAGCCATGCTTACGCAGTTAAAGTTCAAGGTTTAAAATTTCTATTGCATGCTTTTTTTTATTTATTTTCATGTTGAGATGAAATGCTGTAGTTTACTCTTGATATGAATGTACTTTACCCATATTTGTCTTGGGTGACTACATTTTACTCAGTTTTTCTTGTACAGTACATAAACCAACCATTTTCTGACCAAATTCCTGCATTTCCTATGTACTGACCTATATTTTATTTTTTTTTTGTTCCCCACTTCCTTATTTTTTTTCTTCTGCATTGCTGTATTCCCTTCCCCATTTCATCCTTTTCCCTTTGTGTTCAACTTCCCTTTCCTTGTCTTTACCCAAATTCCCGTGCCCTTCCCTGTCTTACCCTTCTCCTCGTCTTTGTCTACGTTCCCTGTCTTCATTCCCTATGTTCATGCTTCTGTGCTTGAACAAAATGTTCCTCGGACCAACTTGCCCCAATTAACCGCCTTGAAACCATGATCCATGACCACCTCACCATTCTGCGGGAACCACCCTTCGTTATGGATGATCTGTTATCTCCGCTC